TTTGGGGATTTTTGTTCTCCTTCCCCCCACGCCCCCCCCCCCCCCCCCCCCAGCTCTGTGGCACCTTCTGATTGTCGTAACTGTGTTGTATATCAGATCTTAGCTTTCCTCTTAGCAAGAAAGAGCTTAGTTCTTTGCAGTATCACCCATCTGGCCCCTGGGGAGGCTTGTCGTTCCCAAGGACGCTGAGGTTTCTTCCAGCACGTCCAAAGGTGCCCCGTACCCTGGTCCATCAGGTAAGTCGCACAGACCACAGATATGCCCCTAGCTCGCGCTGTGGAAGATGGGAAGAGGACTCCCCATGACTTTTGCATACAGCTACCTATACATTTACCGTTGCACCCAAAAGACAGTGCCGGCAGTGCTTAGCGCTTCCCGAGAGATTCAAAGCACAGCTAAACCCGTACTGCTGGGCAGGACTTTCAGTCAGCCGGCCGCCACCAGGGCATATGGCGTGTCTCAATACCCGAGAAAGGTTTGATTCTTCCAGAAAAGCTGGGGTGGGAGAAGCAGGTTTAGAGCCAGCCTTCCTGCTCGGCTCCTTCAGCAGATTCACACATAGAAGCTGACAAAACGGTAAGTTTCTGTGGAGCGAATTCTCTCTGGGCTCCAGCCAGCCTGGAAACGACACCGCTCCCGCCTGCCTGGGGTAAGGGGAAGCGAGGCGGTCAGCCCCTGGGCTGAGCAGCTCAGCGCTGCGTCGCACCCAGCTCTCTGGCTGTCCGCGTCCCCCGTCGCAGTAATGCCCGGTCAGGCACAGCTGCTTCGCCTTTGTCGGATAGTTTCCTGTATCGAGCAACCATGGCACCTCATGGGATTTACTTTCTGTTTTCAAAAACGCCATGGTTACAGCTCCAAGGGAGCCCACGTGTCTGACTGACCGTGTTTTTCTTGCAGGACCTGGGACTGGAAGGAACATTTCTCAATGAAGTGCTCTACAAAAACGCGACTTTCCTCAACTTGGTGGATCCCATCTCCCATGACTTGCTGATGAGCCTCGCTAGAGACCTGCAGTGTCCCAAAAAGGTGAACCCTTCCCTCAGCTCGGTGGATGCTTTGCGACAGAGACGCAGAGCGCCCTAATGGGGTGGCAGGTGCTGGGCGGTGCTCCGCCATCCTTCCCAACCAGCCAGCAGATGCCCTTGGGGTGGGAGCAGAGAGATTGTTGTGCATAGTTCCATAGAAATCAGTTAGAACTGCCTCAGAGCACGAGTGGAACTGAAAGAGGGGGCAGTTATGCACACAGAAATCAGGAATTTACTTTTTGTGCCAATAATAAACTTGATTACAGGGTACAGGCCAGATAAAAATATATGGGGCAGATGGCGGTGCCGTATTCACTGGAATGCCCCAGAGGTTCAGAGCAGCTAGCTTACCAGGGGCTCACGGGGCTGCAGAGGGGAACGGAGATCCCTGCACCTCCGCCCAGGCCGCTGCCTCTGCAGGAGGAGGACAAGAACCTCTCCCTTCCCAGGCCCTTTGCCGTATGCAGCTACCCTAACCCAGCATTACATCCCCCCTATAACCTCCCAGATCGCCGAGAAAAGAATGGTGCTGTAGGAACATATTGCAACTCAGGGTTCAAGAAGCAAATGTGTTAGGTGCACAGCATCCCTGCACTGCTCCGGCGCTTTCCTTCAGAGAAAGCGGAGAGCAGGGACAAGGAAAGGCAAGGCTGAGTGCAGACGAACATCACGGATACCACAGTCCCACTGCAACACCAGCATCTACCTCTGTTACCCTTTGCCACCACAAACACTCGGGTTTGCAACACGTCCATTTGCTTATCAGGCTTGGCAAGCGGCGTGTTGGCTTTATAAAGAGAGCAATAGAGTGAATTTCTGTATTCAAAAGGGGATGTTACGTACACACAGCTCAGAGCAAACAGCGGCGCCCTAGGGAATACATTGAATGCCTGGTGTAGATTAGTGGCATTTCTAACCTTGTTCTGCCATCTCCTGAGGCTCTCCGATAACGATTAACCAGTCAGGTCTCAATAGTCCAACTACATTTAGCCAAAGTTTAATCATCACCATTGGGCTGCAATGCAGCCTCAAAAAAAAAAAAAAGATCTTGTTTTCAAGTGCAATTTTTGTGCAGATGATATAAGCACCTGAAAAGGAAGAGGGTGGGCTGCAGCAGTAGTGCCCCTTCACCACGCTTCCCTTGACCTCCTCCCCAGCGGCTCCACCAGACCACCTCCAGCCTCCTGCTGTGCAGCGCCCTTCAGGGGAGGCAGCACGGGGGGACCTTACCCTACTCCAGTACCCAGCTGCCTAGCAGATAACACACTACAATTTTTATATACCTGCATATACCCCCCCGCTATTTTCACGTCTTATAGATGCACATGCTTCTCTGCGCCAACGCACGTACCATTATGTAGATAAGATTTTCCCCATTCCTAAGGAAGACATTGAGTGCCTGAGCTGCCCTTCAAAGCCAGCAGGAGTTTAATTAAGGGGTTGGAGAGACTCAGCACCCTACACAGCACAAACATCGGCAGCCCACGTCCCCTCTCCGCCCCGGCTGAGCATCTGGTGGGCGTAACTGCATTACAGGCAAGCAGGCCGAGCGCAATTCCCAGTTTGTCAGTGGAAATTAAATCAGTGAGGACATGGGAAGGAACAGGAGGGTAATTCTCAGTTGTGAGCCAACAACCAGTTGCAGACCATTGTACCAGCTCCTGCGCTGAAGCCTGGTGTGCACGTGCACCCACTTGGACAGGTTTGCTGTTGTAGGTGACAGCAGGGTGCCAGCTGCAGCCTTGCCAGCACCGTGGTAGTCCAGAACAAGGCACCTAACCCGAGGGCACGGGCCGGTCCTTGGGGGGCTCCTGGGGGAGCTGGGACAGGGATTGGGGTGTTCGGCTGAGCATTGAGGCCGGGATCCCTCTCCACTTGGCACAGCAGGAGGGCACATGCTGGCAGTGCATCCCCAGGGAGTTCGGCTGATTCAGTGACTGCTTGGGAAAGTCACAGTGCAGCTGTTGGCCCACAGTGCAGCACTTTAACTGCTTGCAATAAAGAATAAATTAGCATATTCCCTGACAGCTTTACTCTATGTTTACCTATCAAATCCCTAAATGCACACGTTGCACCACAGCTGGAGGGCTGAGGAACAGGAATGCAGGTGTCTGTCGGCATTTGGAAAATATGATAGAGGCGGCAGAAATCCCAGCCTTCAGCAGCTGCCATTTGCCACTCTGCTTCCCCAGGGGAAGAGAGGTGCTGTTCAAAGTCATGGCGACAGAGAACGCGTGCAAAAATAAACCCAGGAAAGCAGCAACCATCTTGGTGCCATCTTTTCCTGATGAGTTACTGCAGGGGCTGGAGGGAACTGCCGGCACTGGGAAGCTCCCAAACTCAGACCTCCAGGAGCAGAATGGTCTGCAAGGAAGTCAGATGGAGTATGGGGAACTTGCTGGTTCCCTGTCCCGGCATCTCCCCGCTGGAGCACGGGAGGGAACAGAGGCAGGGTGCTGCTGCAGGAGGAACAGGGATGTCCCAGGGCACATCTCTCCCAGCAAGGAGCACCTGGGGGATGGGGCAAGGGTGCTGACTGCTGAACTTCCCGCGTGAGGGGGACAGATGGTTGGTCCAAAGACAGTTTGCAGTTAGAGTTTGGGAGGCGCGGTGACAAGGCAACTGATAGAAATTCAGGATAGTCCTGTAACACAACGAGCTGGCAGCTTGTCTGCCCAGCTGGGGACAGGTGCTGCTGAGCATACAGCAGCGAGGAGCTGAGACGCCCACGATGTTGCCACATTGGGCTTTTTTGAAAGCGGAGATCTTTTGAAGAAAAGGGCATAGGGGGTCCCTGCACAGAGCCCTTCTTGCGCTGTCAGCCACCCCTGCCTTCCTGGGTGTTGCCTGGCCTAGAGCAGGACCCCTGCCGCAGCTCTAGAAGGTAGCCCCCTCTCCTGAGCTCCACTTGCCCCTTGGTAGGGGGTGAAATCGTAGCCCCGCTCCGGGCAGGGCCATGCTGGTGGGGCTGGGGCCCTTCCTGGCGGTGTGGGGCTCCTGCTGCTCCTCCTCCATCCCAGGAGGAGATGGCATGTGGCACAGAGGCATCTCAGGCCTTCTCACCATCCCTCTTTCATCCTCTTTTCCTCTTCATGTCCTCCCCTATATACGTTCCCCTGCTCCACTACCACCTCTGGTCCTTTTCCATCTTCCTCTGTCCTCCCTCTTGCCTCCCGTTTGCTGTGGTGCACGCAGAGGCTAAGCTGTCCCTTTGCTTTCAGGAATACGACCCCTGGAAATCCTCGGACAGGATCTGCAGGCAGCTGATTTACCACCTAACTCCCCACTCGAAATGGCACCGGCACGGCATGCCCCGGAGGAAGTCCCAAATGTGGTAAGCAGCCCAGCGGGGCCAGCGCGGATGGGCACGGAGGGGGATCTGCCAGGAGAAACGGCGCTGCAGCCAGGCACCGTCCCAGTCTGCGCTACCGCCCTTCGCGGAGAAAGGCAGGGCTGAAAACCTGCACGGCAGCCTCTGCTCAGTCTCGTAGAAAACAGCCAAACGGCGCAGGGTCAGTGCCAACACCCTTCTCCCCAGTCTGGTTTGCTATTTACTCTTTTTTCTGTAGTCTTACAGTTCCTCAGCCTTTCCCAAGTGCACTGAAACGGTGATTGCACAGTGCAGACAGCCCTCCCAGCAGGGCTCGCAGGGTGTTTGGCCCTAGGAGCGTGGCTAAAGCCGGCAGCCTTGCAGCTACACACACCCACGTGCCAAGCTGAGCCGGCCCCAGCTCTGCATCCCACTTTGTCCTTGTCTATCCCAGTATAACTGCCCTGCCTGCGGGGAAGGTCTCCCATGAAGAGGCACTACCGCAAGCTGATCGCCCCATTGCCAGCCACCCCAGCACGGTTCCTGCAGAGAGAGGTGACCATCTTTACTTGCCTCCCCCTTCTCCGCCGGGAGAGGGACCAGAGGTGATGCAGAGCCTCAGGCACAGGGAGCCCGACTCGAGGCGCGTTGGCCACAGGCAGCTACCGGATGGCAGCTGCTTCCCACTACTACAGACATATTCAGACACCCACGCTCGTTCTCTCCTTGACACTGCCTGGCTTTTCTAACCAGATAAAGAGCAATCCCTACTTCTTTTAAATCCACCCCTTCTCTCCTCATTTTCTTCAAGCAAAGCCTGTTCCTGTGACACAGATCACCAGTGCTGAAGAAAAGACAGAGAAGTGACTAAGAAAAGAGGAGCTATGCCAGCCCCATTAGCTTCACAGGAATTAATGCAGGATTGGGTAAAAAGAAATGCAAAACTGGCAGCACTCCAAGCATGGCCTTGGGCTTTCCTGAGACTTCCAGAGTCCCTGATGCACATGCCAGCATCTTAAAACCCCCCATGGGAATTGACATTTCCATCGTACCTTTCGTTACTCCGAGGCAGATCCCCAGTGCATCTTAAGGAACAAAATCCCTAATACCGTGATTTCCAGGCCATCTGCCTCCCATACCTGTAGCCCCGCTCTACCACTGAATTGAGCCCTCTGCAACTTTCAGTGCTCTCATCCCCAGCACCCCGCAGGGCAGCGCAGTTGGTGCCGGTCTGCAGGTGGGAACCACAGCACAGCACGAGACCGAGGGGCCAGAGCTGAGCAAGTCCTTTTCCAGACCCGCTCGGTTAGATGCCATTTTCCCTATGGGATCCCGCAGAGCACTGGAGGTGCAGGATGCAGAGAGCAGGTCTGACCCCATCCCCGTCCCCTCCCACGAGAGAGAAGAGAGCTTAAAGATAAGAAGTGCTGGAGACAGGGAGAGCTGTAGAGAGAGCGGCTGTCTCCACGCCTTTCCAAGCTCCCTTTTACTGAAACCCAGTCTCATTCTGGTTTTCCAAGTGAGAAGTCCCTCCCGGCCGCTCCCCAGCTCAGCCCTCTGCCCCCACACTCCTCTTTGCAGGCAGAACAAACCTCTTCTCCCCTTGGAGAGTCAAACTGGAGTCTGCACAGCCCGGGGAGAGCAGAGGACTGCCTGCTGCAAACTCATCACTTACTAACGACACAGGGAGCAGGTCTGGAGCCCAGAGCCCACACGGAGGGGTCAGGCCCGAAGCACTGGCCAGGTACAGAGCATCCCTGAGCACGACAGGGAGAGGCCAGCAGGGCGGTGCGCGCTGGAGGGAAATGCCGGTCTGAAATGGGTGGCCCTGCCTGGCAGCCAGGCCCAGCTGCAGGGCGTTACATAAGGCGCAAAATTTTGATTAAATATTAAACAGCAGAGCTTCCTCTTTTAAGACTGGAGAGGAACTGGTTTGCAGTTTGCGGCAAAAGGTGCCTGCAGAGTTGGCATCCGAGGCCGCTGCAAGAAAGTGGATGTTGCCAGTAACGGGAAGGAAAGAAATAGCTGCTTCATTTGGAGATATCGGGGCCTAATTTTGTCCAGCCGGGCTGTTTTCACCTGATCCGAATTCTCCACTTCCCTCCGTCTGCTAGTGGGAGTATTTTACTATAATCTCTGTCTCTGAACCCGTGCCCTTGGCTTGCACCCTTCCTGCCTTCAAGGTCCCATAAAAAGCATGGGTGTAGAAGCAATGCTTTGAAGGCACTTCTAAAATCTAGTGGGGACCAGCAGGGAGGAATCGGTGCGTGGAGACCACATTCAGGAACTGAATTCTCCTCTCGCTTTTGCAGTCTCCTGGGCTTTGGCTTCTGGCTTTCCCGGAGCTGATGCAGGACCCCCTTGTTCTCTCCTGAAATGCGATTGCTGCTTTCTGGCAGCCTGTCAGATGGGTCCAGGAGATAATTAACAAGCCCAGCCACACAGAGAGCTTAGGGCATCTGCCAGGTTTTAATTACGTTGGGGCTGTTACGGGGTTGTGGTATGGGAGATGGAAAGGACCTGCAGTCTTGGAGCCGGATCACGCATCAGGCGCTCCTCCCCACCGCCAAACAGCAAACCCGTGGGTCAGAAGCAAGCTAACTGTAGTTAGGGCCCCATCTGCTCTCAGTGGGACCCGAAACATCCAGCAAGTACAAACCTGAGCCACCCATGAACTCATAAAGCAGGAAGGATAAGCTACACTTCAAGCACTCCTGTTCTGATACACAGCAATGCCAGGACATCTGGAACCGTAAACCCAATTAAGAACCAATCATACCTCCACCAGGCAGGAGTAGCCTTATGCTATTCATGCTATAGAGCCCGACCAGGTACAAAATATTCACAAATAGACTAAGTCAGGAAAGCGTCAAACGCGAGAGCCTCCAGATACACACAGCTACGTTCCTCTAGAGCTCCTTGACCGCAAACCTGCTCCCCACTAATGCCAGAGGTCCCACATGCTTCCACTACCACCTTAAGCACCGATGTATTCAGCCAGGGCTATGGCTGCGGCAAAGGTGCCGTGTGCCTTGCACAGGACACGGTGGGCTGCTCTTCATCCTGCTCAGCCGTCCCTCTGAAGAGCTGCCGGCAGGAGGGACTGCACATGGCACCTGGCCCCGAGCCTGGGAGAGAAGTCAGGCCACACGCTGTTAGCAGCTGAATGCCCCAGGCCAGCAGCAGAGTCCATGCAGAAACGTAGAAGGAGAAAGCTTAGGACAGCACAGTGGACTCAGTGCAACAGCAGCTGAAGCACAGAGCAGAGACCCAGCCCAGGCTGTCCCTGGTTTCTCTGCTTGATTAAACTGTCAGAGGCAATGCTGGGAGGCAGTTTTCCCTCTGCATCCACGCTAGTGGGCTCCTGACAGCGGCTGTCTGCCTTGTACAGTGAAGGGTTAGCGGTGTCAGCTGTGCAGCCACCCAAAGAGGCTATTCCAGCTGCCCAGGTGATACTCGGACAGGTTTGCCACACTGGAAGCAAAAGGTTCAATTCTCCTTTCCCACAAAATCCTGTCTCAGGTCCGCAGCCTGCACCTCGCCTTGCGGCTGACCCTGCTTGGGCTGGCTGCCGACCCAGGCAGCAAAGTCGAGCTCTTGGGGGATTTACCAGGGGCTTTAAAATTAAAAACTCAAAAGCTGGAGGATAAGATTTCCACAGCAGGGACCAGCATGGCTTCACTGCACAATTGTCAGTCCCTTATATCCTAACGGGAATTCCGCTTCAGCACCATCTTACAGGTGTATAGATCACACACACATAGCAAGCAGAATACATCCTGCAGTGTTGTATAACTCCAGCTTCGCTTTCTCATTAAATTGACGTTTATAGTGTAAAGAGTAATGGATTAAGAAATGCTCCTCTCAGCAGACATAGGCTTTTTAGGCAATCAGCACCAATTCTGTGGTATTTTGACAGATGCAGAATTTTTGGATGTTATTAACTCTTGTTTTCAGAAGTCTTGAGGATTCCTTAATTCAGCATTGCAGGAGAACTCCATGTTCTCGTGCAAGTGCCACCATCTGCATCCCTGAATCCAGGGAGCGTATTACTTTGGGAGGGCAAAGCCGCACCAGACTGCAGGTCAGAGTGGAGAGGGAGAAGGGTACCAGGTGAAGGCAGCGTTTGTCTGGAGAGCCAAATCACAGCCTAGTTCTGCAGTCAAGAAGCTGTGGATGACAGCTGAGCTGTCTTGGCAAAGCCACGTCAGGGAACCTTATGTATCTCCCACTTGCATCGACCCCAGAGCTGGCTACTTCAGCGTAACTGCTTCCTTTCTTGAGCGCAGAGGATCAAACCTGAATCCACAAAACGCGCAGGCAGTAAACACAGAGTGATCGGTACAAGCAGGGTGTTCCTGGCACAGAAAAAAAAAAAAAAAATCCAGATTTTCCACGGTGACTGGTTGTGGAAGAGCAAAGGCAGCTGTGTGCGTGGAGTTAACTCCCAAACTGCATGCATCTAGGCTTTCCTTTTCACAAGTCTCACCACGGTTTTACTTTGCTCACCTGAGTGAATTTCATTTGGCAACATCTCAGCTAATCCAAGGCTGGGTGGAGAACAGAGTATCCCTTCTGGGCTCATGGCTCCGTTTCTCAGGTATTGATGTGCATTGCTGAGACACTGCGGCATTAGATGTACTTTTAAAATGCAATGAAAGCACTTGTGTCTAGAAGACTGCAAGGAAACAGCTCTAAAGGGCTTTGGATCTTTTTTTTTTTTCCCCCCTTGAAAACATCACTCAGGGCTGCAGATGACAGCTCTGGCAGTTTAGATCCTAGCCTTCACATGGCACGAGGTGAATGCTAACTAGAGCTTCATGTCACCCTTACGCAACAGGGTAAATAGGCACCAGCGTTCCTGCTTCGGAGACGGAGCACACCAGTCAGTTAACTGAAGCCACACGGCAATAGCCGTACAGAAGAACAGGAGCTGCCCCACACAGTGTTTTCAAGAAGCTGCTGCTCACGGGGTATCAGCTGGACAGACACGGGCTGGTGAATAAATCGTGGAGAGCAGCAGG